AATAAAAAAGCTTAATTCAGCCCGTACGAGCTGACACAGAGGGAAAGCAGAGTGGTTCCCGTGTAAGTGTCTTCTTAAGGGAAGACTGAAACATGAGTTAGTGTTACCCAGACGAGGAGGGGGAGCTGTGCTTTACAGCAGCAGAAGCTGGGAGTGGTGCACACAAGACATTCCACACACTGGTTACCCCGGAGCAGAAGGCAGATGGAGGCCAGGAACCTCAGTGACTTGTAGACCATAATGAAGAGTTTAAGAATGAGCCTAAGAACAGTGATGTATATTGGTAGTGGGGGGTGCTTTATATTTTATTTATTTTATTTTATGTCTATAAGTGTATTGCCTGCATGTGTATGAGTGCACCCATGTCATGTAATGCTGGAAGAGGTCATAAGACAGCATCCGATCCCCTGGAACTGGAATTATGGATGGTTGTTAGCCACCATGTGGATACTGAGACTCGAACCTGGATCCTCTGCAAGAGCAGTCAGTGCTCTTAACTGCTGAGCCATCTCTCCAGTCCCCAGTTTTTCAGGAAGGGGATAAGTATAGTGATCCTGCTTTGCAGCTGCCCGTTTGTATCAAGAGCCTCTTTACCCAGTTCTTGGGAGAATTCAGACATTGGGTGATGCTACCTACATCTGGGTAAGGGGCTGTGTGACCCAAGGGAGAAATCTTGGAGTTGTTTTGACTTGAATGTGAACTTCCCCCAAAGGTTCATGTGCTTGAACACTCGTCCCCAGCTAGTGGCATTTTTTTGAAAGGTTGTGGAACCTGTGAGAGGTGGAGGCTAGCTGGAGGAACTGTCATTGGGGGTAGGTCTTGAGGTTTGGTAGCCTGGCTCCATTTTCTCTTCACTCTCTGTTGCTGACTGTGGAGGAATCTCACATTCCTGCCACCATACCTGAAACTGTATGCCAAATTAAACCATCCTTCCTTAAGCTTCTTCTTGTTAAATATTTTATCGTTGCAAGGAGAAAACTAATCCAGGGGTCGAAATGACCTTCTCCACTCTGTTTCAGAGAAATTGACCTTGACATGTCTGTGGGAAGTGAGTGGGAATAATGAATAAGTTATACAGGTGGAAATCTTTGAAGAAGAGAGATCTGAGTTGAAGACAAGTTGGGAATGCTCTTTTGTATTATTTTCAGCACTAAATGCAAAGAGCCCATCAAGGCTTTCGTTCCATTCAGTTTTAAGCAAACATGTTAGTTGGAGCCACAAAGCTTACTTGATTGATGGCCTCCATACACATGAGTAAATAAGATTTGGCTCCAGATAGCAATTACGACCGGCACCTTCTTCTTTCATCTCAGGAGACACAATGAAATTGTAAACATCAATCCAGACACCAAAAAGGATAAATAAACAAAAAGTTCACTTTTCCCCCTGGGAACAAAACTTGAATTATTTACCTTTGTCTCTTTTGCAGCTGTGTGTGTGCCAAGCCTTCTCTTCCACATTTGCAAAAGCAAATGTGATTCTACCTCCCCCATGTGAAACGAAAGTGTCTACAATGTAGGAAGTCTGATTAATGCTTAATGAGCTGAAATAGTCTCTTTCCATCAGTGCCTTGCCCTCTGCCCTTGAGTTAAATGTGTAACACCACAAAGGATAATGAGTAGAGTCTGACTTCCTTTAGGAATTTCATACACTCTAACTACACCGTTTGAGAGCTTCCCTTGTGAGGCTATCATAAAATTTGATTATGACTTATCTGTCCTGGGCAGAGAGAATAAACAGCATTATGTACTGTCATCTGAGAGGAATGGAGTGACGAGGAATGTCTGGCTTTAGTGTTATATGGGTGGAGGCTGCAGGCTGCCTGACTTGACTTGAGCATCCTTCTTCCCAGTAATAACAGCCACTGACTTTTCTCCATTAAGTCTGTGAACTTAACTGTAGTTCAAGGCTCGGTGTGTATTTAAGAATTAACTTAAGGAATTGATTGGATCTTTTTGAAATTGCTTTAGGTTGTAATATGAGTATGTCCCTGACTCATCTGCAAAAGTCTTCAGTTAATGTTTACAAAAACTAAGTTTGCCAAAGAGGGTCTGTAAAGTCTTCCTTATTACAACTAATGATTTGCTAGCACAGAGCAGTTAGTCTGGCCTTTGCATAGGCATCTTCAGCTGTTGGCCAACTTGTCCCACCCATCTGTCCTTTTACCTCTTCGGGACCTGTTAAAATGTTCCAGGAACATCATGGTATGTTTTCCAAGTGGTGTCTGTGACTCATTTATATGCATAAAATTTTTGCCCCAATAATAACAATTATAAACCACATGCAAAGTTTAAGTATATAGGAAAAATGATGAGAAATTAAAATGTAATCATAAGAGTTTTTAGTTTATTTCACCTATGCTGAAAAGCTACAAAGGTACTGATACTTACCTCTTTTTTTTTTTTTAATTTGTGAAATAAGAAGCTAGGCAGTTACATTATAGGATTTTTTTTATTGCTGCTGGGTTTTTTTATGTTTTAGAAACTGTTATGTTTTAGTCACCTTAAATTTTAACTGCAATAATTGCAATGTATTATTTGGCCAAATTTCCTGTTATTCTCAGTGGAGCAAAGAGAGGGAGAGAAATCATATAAATAACATATATTGATCATTGAAAGCTTCATTTTAGAGATGTAGTTAACTATCTTTCCTAACTCCTACTAGTGCTTTATATAATAGAAGAATTATAATTAAGGTTCTGTTTCTATGCCTCCTCCTCTTCACCGAAGGCAACAATATGCCATGTAATTGGTAATGTGTTAATTCTGCTGGTATCATTTATGCAGCTGAATAATTATGGACTTATTATGTATGCCATGTCTCCCGCAACACACATATGTACAACATGCATGCACATATGTACATATATATGTATATGTGGGACAAGTGTCTATAGGTGGTAAATATTATTATTAATATTTATTCTGAATGACAAGTTGGATAAAAGTACCCGGAGTATTACATGAGACTCCTCTTTCTTTTCATATGTGAACTATATATTAATCTATATACTTGACAAGATGTATTGAACACCTCAGTGTTGTGTGTTTGCACTCACTCATGAGGTTTTACTCGGTTTCATTTCTAATCTGTATCTGTGAGGATTGGGGAGCGAGGATGTAACTTTGTTAAACAGAAAGTCCTACCTTACTGCATTTCACCACTCGTGTTTGAAAACCTAATTTGTATGATGTGAGGAATGTAGAGGTTTGGAAAGCTCACTTCTTGAAGGCAAGTGAGCAAGCCCCCATGATAATTATGAAAACCTTTTAGAAGGCAAGCTGGGGTGCCTAGTTCAGCCATCTGGTTGGAATGTGTATTTTGGGGGCTCTCTCTGCACCTTTGCCCTTGCTTAGAAGTGAAAAATGTAAGGAATGTATTGGCTGATAGTCCAGGTCTGCTTGCCTGGATTTGTAAGATAGCACTTCTGTCTGTACACACACTCACTTGTCCTGGCACTGTCCAATTTGAAAGGCTAACAGGGAGGTAAACTGTGTTGCAGGCAGATTTATCAGCCCTGAACCAAAATATGCAAACATTTCCAAGATTAGTTTCATATTTTTTAAGAGGTCAGGGGAGCTAGACGTTTTGAACCATGCCCACCAAGTAAAGGAGCAAAGGAAACAAGCGTTTGCAAATTTGAATACAGGTAATTAATTTGCCACAAGCAAATAAAGGCTTCAACTTGAGCAGCTCACAAAGATTGCCTTTGACTTTCTCCGTGGCTTTGTTTTGTTATGTGTGCTGGGCTGGATCCCCAGGGCCTTGTGCATGTCAGACAAGTGCTCCATCAACCCATCCCTACCCAGTGGCTTTCTGAGCCATTGCTAGAGGGTTCACTTCACTTTGTTTATTTGGGAGTTCGGTCTAGTTCTCTGAAACATCACAGCATCTCTTTAATGATGCTAAGGAGCGAGGGTTGGAGCTGTAACTGTTCTTAGATAACTTTTGAATCTTGTAAAACCAATGGGAAATAATTAGAATATTTCCCATCTAAGGGTTATTTCCCTTACACTCAATTATTTTACTTTTGCTAATGACTGCTTATGAAATAAGCTCACAATTGGGAACGTTTTGTGATTTCCCATGAGGCTATCTGTATTTTATAGTAAGTATTGTGAAAAATATTGTCAGTCTATCTCTTAGTTTTCCTTAGTTATCTGTTACACTTCCGAACTCTCACCACTGTATCACAAAGGAAATTATTGGTCACCAGGAGGTTCAGATAGGAAAGAATATCTACATCAATTCAAATTCATTATCAACACAGAAGAAAAAAGAGCTTCCAAAGCAGGTGCCCTTACATTCATGAGGCCTAATGCTAACCTCTTCACATGAGCTTATTTGTTTAGTGAAACCTCGATTTGTATAGAGGATGCCCCAAATTCCATAAGTAACCAGCAATCGGCTCTGGTCTCCCTGAAGTCTTAGGAACTGATAATTGTTTTATACAAGTCTGGTTATGCCAATAGATTCTAATCCAGGTGGTTAAAAACAAACTCAAATACTGTGAATTAAACAAATCCAGTGGGTCAGAAGATGGCATGGTGCAACTATCATTTCTCTGTCCCAATGTAGAGACTTGGTGAGAGATGATAAAATGAGCACTCAGGCAGAACTTGAAAAATAAAACCAGCCTTATGTGGTGCATTTCATTTGACTGTACCTGGATGCTCAATGATAGAGCAGTTTCTTGGCAAACATGGGGCTCAATCCCCAACACCATCAAAACAAAGCAAAGTGTAAAGATAGTCTCATATACAGGAGACAGACTCGGATGAGAAGGTTCCATTAGGAACTGTACCACGTGTATTCTCATTTTTGAGCAATGGTAGTCTGACCTGAAAACTGCACAGACATATAGACTAAAGAGATGTTAACTTGTGCAAAAGAAACATGATGATGAAATGAGATGCACCAGGCTTTTTGCCGTCATCTCAGTAGCATTTTGTGTGAAGAGCCAAAAGTGACAGCAATGGTTTCTGTTCCATTGTCAACAGAGCCTGTCTTCTACTTCGGTGATGTTGAGTATTCTGTGGATGAGAGTGCTGGTTACGTGGAGGTACGTGTATGGAGGACTGGCACCGACCTCTCCAGGCCCTCCAGTGTCACCGTGAGATCCCAGAAAACAGAGCCTCCCTCTGCAGAAGGTGAGCAGTCTCCTACACCAGGCGTTTTGATTGTTATATAACCTTCAGCTAACACGACACAAAGTACTTCACAGCCAAAGCAGCTCTTACTGAAACATTCTAGATGGATTCTCTTTTCCCAGAAATTATTACTATAAATAATAAATTGCTTTCTTTAGTTTCATTTCTCTCTGTCCATACCTCCAACTCTGATTTGAACTTCATTCTTAAAAATGAATAATTTGGCTAAACAAATGTTAACTGGACACCCGCAAGAGGCACAAGGTTAGTTCACTGTATTCAGACTTTGTTTGAAAACACCGTCCTCTACTAGGCAAATCTGATGTTGTTGACAATTCTGATGTATTCAGGGGAATGATCATGCCCACCACTCTCACAGAATCTAATGGCATTTTGTATCTCGTGGATAAACATCTTCACTTGGTTCCTTCCTCATTTTAATCAAGCATCTCTGTGAATACTTCAAATTCAGAAGGCTTTCCCAACATCAATCTACAAACTGTACTAGCTAGTCGAGGCCTGCCTCCTATTCCAGGATCTCTGTCTCTAAAACATTGTTCATAAATTTAGGACAAGCATAGGATTCCAAATTTCCCTTTCTTTTTCAGTTGGCCAATAATATTTTCTCTCTTATACATACATTCATCTTATATGTATGTAGTGTGTGATATGGATAGGCACACACACACACACACACACACACACACACACACCATACACATATCAGTCATCCATCACAAAGCAGGCAAAAGCCAAACTGTTTTAAAAGTCACCCATAGGACTCAGTGAAGTCCCATAGGAATACAGTGAACTAACCTTGTGCCTCTTGCGGGTGTCCAGTTAACGTCTGTTTAGCCAAATTATTCATTTTTAAGAATGAAGTTCAAATCAGAGTTGGAGGTATGGACAGAGAGAAATGAAACTAAAGAAAGCAAAACAGAAGAACTACAAGGAGGTGTAATTTTTGGCATGTTGGGTTTTGGTTTGGGTTTTTGGTGCTGGGGAGTGAACCCAGAGCCCTGCACGTCCAACACTCACTCTACCACTGAGCTACGCCTCCAGCTCCAGGAGACACAGAATTTTTTAATGAATTTTAAAAATTCGTACACTCACAACTGCATATTCAGTGATAAAATAGGTACAAACTAGGGTCAGAATTACAAGACTCTAAGAACAAAGAGAGAAGCCACCATGTTTCCCTCCCCCTCTTGACTTCATGCATATAGTGATGAAGGTTAAAAGACAACTGTGCTTTTAACACTTTACTCACTAGATATGTACTTCATGGTCTGAAAAAATAGTAAATCAAAAAGCGAATGTGTCTTTGGAACTGAAGTCTGTTTTCATTGCCTTGCATGAGTGTGGGTTGAGTATGGGGACAGAGAAGCTTATCCCTGAAATGTTGGGTTTTAACCAATTGCCATATGCCTAAGTAAGTTACTTTGCAGTTAGTTAGAACAGAAATAAGAATCATAGGCTTTTAACTACTGCGAAGAAAATTTAAATGAATATATTTTGCATATAATTTTAAGCATGCATTTGATTGATATACTGATAGTTTCAGACCTGATTATTAGACAACTTTAATAAAGATGGAAAAACTATAACATAGAATGCTAAAAATAGTCATTCAAAGTCCAGCCATTAAAACACAAGGTTCCGAATTTGATTTTTTGGTTCACTTTCTCAGTACCTATCTTCTGTGTTTCATTAATTAAATGTACTTTTCTGTAGTGTTATGCTGCTCCTTATTTCTAAAAAATTAACTATAAATGCATCTATGTAATGTATTTTTCATATTTTAAAAAAGGTAGTATCCATCTAAATAACCCATTCATTTTGGTTTTAGCTGGAACAGACTACGTGGGGATCAGTCGTAATTTAGATTTCACCCCTGGCGTTAACATGCAGACTGTCCGTGCTGTCGTTCTTGATGACCTGGGACGACCAGTACTGGAGGGAATTGAGAGGTTTGAACTGGTGCTTCGAATGCCTGTGAACGCTGCCCTCGGCGAGCCCAGCAAAGCCACAGTTTCCATAAACGACTCTGCCTCAGATTGTGAGTACTTTTTAACTCGCCAAGGATAAGTAAAATAAGTCAGAACTTGTATGAATGACAGGTAGCATAAGCTATATATGCCTGTATTCATTTGCTAGGGTTGGCGTTAGTAAAAAGCCTGTATGAGAGTTGGTAGAGTGTGTTCCTTCTGAGGCCATGAGGGGAAGATGCCATAGGCCCCTCTCACTGACTTGTAAATGACCGCTGTGTCCCCGTGTCTCTTCACATTATTTTCCTTCTTCATACATCTGGATGATCAGTTTTCCCTTCCAAAATCCCTGCCTACTAAGAAGTTCATTTCTCAGGTTCAAACTTCACTGTGTGAATATGACCACTTGGGGGGACACCATTCGACCAATACAATACCATACCAAGCACATTTTTTCTCTTCCTGCTCATTTTGGTAGAATTAGACTGTCTTGGAAGAAAAGCATTAGTCTTCTTCAACTTCAAAGAAAAACATGATATTGTCATTGGTATCTTCAGTGTCTAAAGAATTTCCTCAGCACAGATGTGTGACCATGTGATAATTCATGAACACTTGAGTGTCCATGGTCTTTTCTTTTCCCACCCAACGCAAGACACATTTTATCATTTACTTTACCCGGCAACTCCCCAGATTTCTCTAGTAAACCAAATACAATATTCATGACAGGCCTCTCTAAATGTCATCACAAAGGATACCTGGGCCCTCTCCCACCATGAAGGTTCTGATGGTGCCTGGAGGCATGGAACCTGGGATCAATTAGACCTATGTGTACTTGACCCAGCTTAGGTGTCACTTAAAACTGATACACAGAGACACTCATTCTCAGCTTTTCCAAACATGGTCCACAGAAAGCAGGAATTATGACCACAGTATTTAGTGTTTTTCATATAAAAGAATTTTGAACACTCATGACTAAGCAACATATTTAAATACAAATCTCTTAAGGTCTCTAATTTTATTTACTTTTTAGCATTTAGTTGCATGTGCGTACTCCACAAAATAGACTGCAATTTCAAAGTCAAAGAAATCAAAACTCTTAAAGTGAAGTGATTTGCTCAAGGTCAAAACATTCGCAAACAACTGAACAGAGACTGAGGCCCATTTCTTCTCTTACTCTGTCCATTGACCATGTCTTCTGCAATGTCATTTTACTAAAGGACATTTCTGCTCACTTTGACCCCCGAGTTTATTTTTTCTCAGTGCCTAAGATGCAATTCAAAGAACGGGTGTACACCGGCAGTGAAAACGATGGCCAGATAGTTGCAGTGATCCACAGGAGTGGGGATACCCAGTACAGGTCTTCCGTGAGATGCTACACCAGGCAGGGGTCTGCGCAGGTGATGATGGACTTTGAAGAACGCCCAAACACTGATATCTCCATCATCACGTTCCTCCCTGGTATGTGTGAGCTTAACAGACATCTTAAATTTTCTTATTACATTTATTTATTTTGGGTCCATGTGTATGTATATGTAGGGGAAGAGGAGTGTGTGTGTATGCCACAGCCCAATTGGGAAGTCAGAGAGCAAGTTTCAGGAGCCACGATTCTTCTTCCACTACATGGGTCTAGAGGACTGAGCTCAGGTCAGGTTTGTAGATGCCCGTGCTTTACCTACTGACCTATCTTACCAGCCCTTGAAAATTTTGTATGTAATTTAAGGGAGCCAAATGTGTATTGAGAAATATGTAAGCAGGGAAATATAGTGATGTCAAATTCCCTGATTCTAACAAGCTTATGAAATGGCTTTATATGCACTGAATGACAAGACAGAGTGCATTGTAACAGGTTGAATGAATGGCCTTTGGTTTCTTAATTAACCTTTAATTCCTAATGATCGATTATATTGTTTCTTCAAAATGTAGTGGATGGCCCGGCGTGGTGGTGCATGCTTTTAATCCCAGCACTTGGGAGGCAGAGGCAGGTGGATCTCTGTGAGTTCAAGGCCAGCCTGGTCTACAGGGAGACCCCCGTTTCAAAAACACACACACAGAAAAAAAATGTAGTGGATGAACTGGACGTAATGCCGCAAGCCTTTAATCTCTGCCCCTAGGAGGCAGAGGCAAGAGATCTCTGCGAGATGGAGGCCCACCAGGCCAGCTAGGGCTACAGGGAGACCCTGTCTGAAGAAAAGAAACAAAATCAAAACCAAAACAAAACAAAATCTAGTGGACAAGAACTTATCAAATGTACAGATTTCACAAGGCTGGGAATTTAATTTAATGTTGAAATGGCATTAGGTAAAACATCTCTCACACTTTTTTCTCATTGTATAATTTTTACTGAAATTTATGTATTTCATATAATACGTCTTAATCATATCCAGATCCCCTCCACTATCTGTCACCTCCTATACTCCCCACACCTTATTTCATGCATTCTGTCATACATGTTAAGGCCTATCAAGCTTGTAGACCCAAATGTCCCTAGATATGAGTTCATCCAGTGGAGTCCAGTCAGCCTATCTAGAGTCACTCCCCCGGAGAAGATCAACTCTTCCTCACCCAGCAGTAATGAATTACTAATAGTTCCTCAGCTAAGGTTGGGGTCTGCTGCCTAGTTCCCCAGTTCTATGCTGGGTTTTTGTCTGATCGAGTTTGCATGGGTCTTGTGCATGCTGACACCATTGCTGTAAGTTCATATTAGGAAGTTCCCAGAGGCCTGGAAGACTCTGTCTGTTTCCTTATGATCAGGCACCAACCCTGGCTCTTATGATCTTTCTACCCCCTCGTCCTCAATGGTCCCTGAACCCTGCATGAATGTATCTCTCACTTCTAATATGTATCCAGTGCCTTCAGATACTTCGTCACTTTGGCCTAGCAATCTCAGTTAGTGGACTATATTCTGATGAAGAGAATCATAAGCGTGCAGAAAGGTTTCCTTATGCTGATGTTTATGTGGTTCATAGCAATAGAACACTGAGAACAACTTAAGTGGTAAAGGCTGAGTATTATTTATTAATATTGAACATCCATACGATAGTGTATCTTATAGCCACTAAAATTTCTTAAAGACTTTTTAATGAGATTGGAGAAAGTTAAAGATATAATATTGGTCCCAGTTGTTAGAAGCAGGGAGCTAATTGTTCTTGGATCAATGATCTGTTCGATAAGCCAAAAGCTAGTAACACCGGAAACTAGTGTGATCGAATAATGACCAACCAGCACAAATTTGCTAATGCCACTCCCCAGTTATAATTCTAGAAATTCATACACGAAATTGGCTTTTTCTTCTTCCTTTCTTTCTAAGATGAGAGCTAAAATGTACAAGTAGAAATTGCAGAAATTCTTGTGCACATGTGGGCCTGTGTCCGCATAGTCACTAGTCCAGCAAATATTTATTCATGGCTTATTACCAACAGCATTCTTTACACTAGGAGAACCCAAGAAAGCAATGTCCTTGTTCTTGTGGCACTTGCCTTCCAGTTGCTGGTGCAGCCTTCTGGAACGTGGTTGACCTGCAGCCATTGTTTCATGCAGGTGAGACAGAGAAACCATGTGTCCTGCAGCTGATGGATGATGAGCTCTTTGAAGAGGTCGAGGAGCTGCGCCTGGTGCTTGGCACTCCACGGAGCAGCTCTCCCTTTGGGGCTGCAGTCGGTGAACAAAATGAAACTCTGATAAAGATCGAAGATGATGCTGATAGTAAGAAGTCATTGTTTTTGTTCAGCAGTGAATCCAGCACTGAAGTCTGTCCCTGCTAAGGTCTCGGGTAGATCAGAAAATAATTCCATCCTGACTAGGGTTTGCACACAACCGAGAATAAGAAGACAAATGGGGAACAAAGAAGACCCATCAGACTAATGAAGTTGGTGACTGGGGAGATGGCTCAGTAGGTGAAGCCGCAGAAGTGTCAGGATAGGAGTTTAGATCCCCAGCACCCACATAAAAACTGGACAGGTGTGGAAGCCCGCCAGAAATCCCAGAATTCACTCAGGAAGCAGGGAGGCATCACGGGGCAAGCTGACTAGCTAGGCTAGCATATTAGCAAGCTCCAGGTTCATTGAGAGACCCTGCCTCAGTAAATAAAGTGGAGAGTGACTGAGGAAGACACCCAGCATCAACTTGCCTCCGCCCCAGACCTGTGCACACCTATTACACACATACAAGTAAAGCTGATGAACTTGAAAGCTTGGGATGAAGCTCAATGGCTGAGGACTTGTCTAACATGTCAAGACCCTGAGTTCAGTCCCTAGCACTAAAAAAAGAAACAACCTGGTAAAGCTGATTTGGCAGGCTATGGCTTATGCCTGCTTATTGAAGCCCAAGCCTTTTCACCTGCCCTCTGCCCTACATACGCCTTCATGTCCCCCTAGTCCTAGGTAGTGGTGTCCCCCTTCCCCTCTCCATCTCAAAGGCCTCCTCCTATATGACTTGTGGGACAAAGGGACAGCCCAGAGGACATGGCCACACCTTCTGGGGCTCATATGACCTCCAGGAAGGATCTGGGCTATGCTTACAGCTTTGGTTTCAGCTTTCATACTGAGGTAACAGAGAGAAGCCGGTGTAACAGTGATTAAGCTCTCCCATGTGGAATGAAACAGAGATGGGAAAGTACCCCCCCACACACCACCCTTTACCAGCAGCTTAATTTGTCTGTGTTTGCATTCTTAGAGGCCATTATCAAATTTGGAGAAACCAAATTTAGTGTCACTGAACCCAAGGACACAGGAGAGTCAGTGGTTGTCAAGATTCCAGTGATTCGCCAAGGAGATACTTCAAAGGTTTCCGTTGTCAGAGTCCACACCAAGGATGGCTCAGCCACCTCCGGAGAGGACTATCACCCTGTGTCAGAAGGTACGAGGCTTCCAGGCTGTCACCAGCTGGACTGTGACAACACAGCTGTGACTTTGAGGAAAGGAAGAAAAACAGCCAAATGTTTTTTGGATTCACTTTTTTTTTTTAGAAGCATTTGATTACAGCTTTAACATACTCAATAACAATTTCCAGAGCAAAGATACATCTCTTTTAAAAGTGGCTATAAAATTTTTAGGTTCACAGTTGAATTAATACAGTTATACTCACCTTTAGAACTACAAAGAGCAGAATTTCTAGAGTTTTCTTTTAGTAGAATTGCTAAGTAACCTATTGTTTTGAAACTACTAACTTTCTGTACATTTTACTATCATATATAAGGTCAGACCTTATATAATGTACTTGTAAGTTTCCATTATATTGAAGTATCTGACAACTATGCTGAACACCTGAGGTAGAAAACAGATGCCTATAGGGAGCAGTGAAAGGGTAGTTGGAGTACCAGCCGCAGTCAGTCTGAGTCCTCTGGGCTTTAGCAGCCTCTCCTGGTGCCTCTCATCTCTTCCAAGCGCACATTTCCAGGCCATTCCATCATCTACTCTTATGATTTATTAAAACAAATAGACCCTCCTCTTTCTCTCTCTCACTGTCTCTCTGAATTACGGGCTGACAGAGTAAGTATAAATGAAGCTTGTGGACTATCGGAGCTCTGCCTATCAACTCTCACTACTTTTTTTATCACCAGTCATCAGTTCCTGACGATCAGAGCTTTGGGCATTCATCTTGATATCTAACTCGCCAACAGAGTTGTAGAAGTGACTGATAGGTGTTACTGAGTCAATGACAAAATTAATAAGGAGATCGAAAAATAGCACCTTCTACAGAAGAGCTTGATTTCCTTTGCATATATACAGCACTACAGCACATCAGTGTTATTCCCAGGTTTTGAAGTATATTATATATACTCCAAAGGATGTAAAGGGAAAACTGATTACCTCCCATTTACGAAAATCTAAAGTCAGTCTTTTCTGTAAGAAACAGATTTTGCATGAATGAAAAACCTTCTAAATATTGCTGTATGACCTTTTAATAGAAACTGTTTATCCTAGAAATAAAATGGTTCCTTTTGCTAAACAGAACAAAATTATAAGTATGTAATGCACTGGTCAATGAAGTCATTTAAAAGTTAAATATTACTAAATCTGCCTGGGTGTCCTGTAGTCATAAACGTCGACCTGCTTTTTATAATAAATGATTAAACCTTTGATTTTTTTCTTTTAAAAAATAAGTGCTTAGCAAATGGTCCTGATAGTTGGACTTCATTCTAATGACAGGGAAGCAGTTTTTCTTACTGAGTGGAGCAAGGTGGGGAGTGGGGGTGGGGCACTATCATCTGCTTCTAACAACTTTCCCCAGTTTCTAAGAGCAGCAAAAATAAGTGATTTGGAAATATACTTTAGTAATGCATTAAAAACAATCTCACATCCAACTTTTCCTCCTATCTTCCTTAAGTAAATGCCATTCACACTCAGTTGATACCTGTGGACCCATTCATACATGGGTCCCATTAGTTTAGGAAATCCAGAGAATAAGAAAAGTTTGTCCCTGTATGAAAACCACTGACTCCTTTTTTAGCAGCTTTCCAAGCTGTAGATCAATAAATCAATATAGTAACTTATAACTGGATTTTTCCTTCAGAGAGAATACAGTAGAATAGTAGAAAATGTTACAGTGGAGACTTGGGGGATAGATCAGGAGGTACTCAATCTTGAGAAGCCATGCTTGGCTGTGCATGCCTGTAACCCCAGTGCTGTGGGGGTCAGAGACAGAAGGATCCCTGGAGCTTGCTGGCCAGCAGCTGTGCTCTAGGTTCAGTGACAGACCCTGTCTCAAATGAATAAGGTGGAGCATGATAGAACAGAACACCTGGCATCCTTCTCCTGCCTCGGTATGTATACAAGCACACACACACACACACACACACACACACACACACACGTATGAATACAGCACACACACCAAAAAATTTGCAATGTACTATATAGGTAGTAAGATAAATGATTAATTAAGTTTTGATTCCCTTTAAGTAAAGCACATACATACACACACACACACACACTCACACACAAATACACTGAGTGACAGTGTAAACTATAGTCATTATAGACCAGAGTTCAAGGAGTTTAATTTCATATGTATAAGATTAAATTTATACCTTTGTACTTATAGAAATTGAATTTAAGGAAGGAGAAACCCAGCACATTGTTGAAATCGAAGTAATCTTTGATGGGGTAAGAGAGATGAGAGAGGCCTTCACTGTTCACCTCAGGCCAGATGAAAACATGATAGCAGAGACACAGGTAAGTGTAAGCTCATGCCAGCATTTTCTTAAGCAAATGTGTATAGGAAATCACAATAGAGAAGACGGTGCATAAAGGGGACATGTGTGGTCCGTTAACCACCAAAATTAATTTTCTTCTGATTAGGTCAGAACCTGTAAATTCCTCTCTGTCTTTGAAAGATTGTGCTGGTGGAATCTCAAGGCTGGAGTCACTGAGCCCACTTCAGCCCCATCAGCTTTCCCATGTCAGTCCCCAGTGACTGAACTTCGACTTGATGGCCACAAAGATGAGACGTTAATTCAGCACTGCAGCTCATTAAACCGACGTCTTTACCCACCCAGCATGTTTCTAGCCCTCAAGGTCCCCAGTTATATTTGGTTAAAATTTGATGCTGAAAGGTTCATGTCCAAAATTTGATAGTCATAAAATGTGTTTTCTTGAGGTGAACATGGTAGCACAGGTCTTTAATCCCAGGATGCAGGAGGCAGAGACAGGTGGATCTCTTTGAGATCAAAACCAGCCTGGTCTCCATAGCAAGTCCAGGCCAGCTGGGACTACAGGAGACCCTGTCTGAAAAATATTTTTTAAATGTGTTTTCTTTTCTTTTTTTAAAAAAAATTGACTTACTTCTTTTTATGTGTATGAATGTTTTGCATGTATGTGACCATGTGCATGTAGTGCCTGCAGAGGCTGGAACAGGGAGTCAGATCCCCTAGAACTGGAGTTACAGATGGTTCTTAGTCACCATGTGGATGCTGGGAACCAAGCCCGGATCCTCTGCAAGAGCATCTCTCCAACCCCATAAAATGTATTTTCTAAATCATATCACCAACCAGAGTCTCTTCCAGATAGACATACTTTCCATGGAACTTGACCTTTATAATGGAAATAATCTTTAAAATTGCATGCCATTTTTAGGAAGAGGTCAGTTGTAATAATGCTGTGCTTACGTTTACTGATTGCTTCCATTTTTTCGTTTCACTATTAATATCAGGTCAAATTGGAGGCATCTTTTTCTTAAGTATTTTTATCATTTAATAAAAATGATAATCTTATAACATTTTATCATTTAATAAAAAAATGATAATCCTTAAAAAAAACTTTTTACTTTATTTTGTGTGCATGAGAGGGGTGTGGGCATGCCAGAGTACACATGTGGAGGTCACAAGACAACTTGCAGGAGCTGGTTCTCTCTTTCCACCATATGGGTCCCAGGGATTGAACTCAGGTTGACTGAACTCTCTTACTCACTGAGCCACCTCGCCAACCCCATTGCTATTCTTTTCAAAGTCATATTTATAACTCAAGATCTACATTCAGAAAGTCATTATCAAATATATTTTTATGAAACTTTTATTATTTTTAATGGACTAGTATATGACATTCTTTTGGGTAAAGGAACAGATTTGTTAAAATCATTTCCAGTGTTAAGAGCTTCTTTTGAGAGTATACAAGCAAGCCTTGGTTTAGAGTAATTCAACCTATATTTTTCAAATTTACATCGGTATAAAATTGATATGTATGAGTAAAACCATACTTTGAAGTTACTGTTATCTTTACCTCACAATTGCAAGATGGAGTAGCTGTGACCCTACAGGGTTCTGTGTTGTTGAACTATGATGTTCAGTAGGTTAGGTAGAGTTAACACAATTTTTTTATAATATTTTATTTATTATTTTTATTTTATGTGTATGCGTGTATTGCCTGCATGTAGGTAAGTGCACCCGTGTCATGCAATGCCCCTGGAAAACAGAAGAGACTGTCGAATCCCCTGAAACTGGAGTTACTGACAGTTGTTAGCTGCCATGTGGGTGCTAGGATTCGAACCCAGGTCTTCTGCAAGAACAATCAGTGTTCTTAACTGCTGAGCCATCTCGCTAGTCCCGAGTGAACACATTTTTGATTTACAATGTTTTCAACTTGGGGGGACACTGCTGAAAGTGTCAGAGCAGCCTACACATGTAAAGATAAGTTTAGGAGCTGTCATCAGTTACCAGATGTAGGAAAGTTGTTCAAAAGTGAGGCACATGGACAGACATGATTCTTGTCCCTGACTAGCAGATGTCCAGAATCCTCCCTCTGCTAGTGCTCTGAGCAGGCCTTTGTCCACCTCAGGCTTAGCTTCACTGGCATCTCAGCATCTTCACAGCCTACTGCATCATGACCTTGAGAATCTCACTTCTGTCAAGGTGTCTGTCTACTTTCCTCCCAAGATCAAATAATGGATTTTTTTTTTTTTTGCAAGAACTTTCACTTCACAAACACAAGACAGATTTATCTACTATCATCACAACTAAAGGGAAAACCTTATAACCCAAGCATCTCAAGGGCCCGTGGCCAGCCTTTGGATGAGCTGCCCAAGGCTCAGGTCCCTTCCCTGTAAACATTCAAAAGAAGCAAGGTACAAGGGTCACACTCAATAAGTTATATGTAGCCTGTCACACTGCTCAGGGTCGGGGCATGACAGTTACATCAAAGGGTTTCCATGGGTTTGTGGGTTATTGTTTGGAAGCCCCCAAAGCCTAATATCGCATGTATCAATGATCACTATCTTTTCCTTCTAGATGACCAAAGCTATTGTGTATATAGAAGAAATGAACAGCATGGCGGATGTCACTTTTCCTTCTGTCCCTCAAATTGTGTCGTTGCTGATGTATGATGATACTTCTAAAGCCAGGGAGGACACTGGACCCACGTCTGGGTATCCTGTCATCTGCATCACGGTGAGTAGGAAGTTGATGAAATTGAGGAAAGTTATAGAACAATCATTTAAAATAATTATAAACTTTAATCAATAGCGCCATGAAGAAATAAAAGGGAAATTAAGGTTTAAGCTTTGAGCTATGAAAACAGAAGATAGCAATAATTAATTAAGGTCCCATTTTTCTTCCTCACCCAACAAAGACTTAGTAACTTTTGAATGCAAAATGTGTGACTTAAGAGTCTGTCACTGATAGGCATGAACTCTGCACAGAAGGAATTTAGAAATAAAGAAATGAAAATCAAATAGCATAGGAATCAGTGTCTCTGCTATAAAGCAGGACTGTTATCATTAAAATGGTAGACATTAAGAACCAGAGCTGAGACTCCCTGTGTGCAGTAAGGTTGGGAGGACTGGGTGAAATTTTGACAGCTTAGGATAAAATTCAAATAAGATCATTCCAGAAAGAAGTGATTGCAGCACAGGCCTCGATGGGAGGAAAAACAGAGGGACTCTATCACTTATTTCACCTGCTTTCTCGTAACTAAGTTGTAAGCTCCTTGTGAACAAAATCTATGATATGACTTGAATATTTTTACACAGCAGCCCTAATGTGACAACTCACATATGATAGGTACATAATAGATGTTTACTGATTAAACGAGGCATAATAATTTGGTGTCAGATTCCAGAGGTCGCTAAATGTCATTTTAAGGAACTGGAGTTCACTCATTTGGATAGCAGGGAGTACAGAGACACTGTATGAATAGAGGGTCATATTGGAGTTTTGCAGGACAGGAGTATGTAACTGGAGTTGGAAGGAAAGGACTTGAATTAGACAGGGAGGTAGTTGTGGGAAGGGAAAAGAAGGGAGTAACATAGGAAGCATTGCAAGAAAGAGTCAAGTTCACTAACAGAAGGAGCCTGATGGCCCTCATGGTGTGACTAACCCCATGAGTGTGGTGGACCTGAGCACCTTGTTTAGGGCTAGATGGAGAGAGGACAGAAACACAAAGCAGGAGAGAAAGAATAAGAATACTAATCTGAAGGTTCAAGGCAATTGACAATTTTTCATGTGTCACTTAAGCGGTGGAGACATCCAGTACACTTAAAAGTCATAAAAGTACAGCTTAAAAGTCATAAAAGCCTCAAAAAGACCGAAAAAAAAAAAAAAAAGTCATAAAAGCTATCAGGGCTGGGAATAAGAATCAGGAAGTTGCCTAAACTGTAGTGTTACAGGGAGGAGGAAGCAGTGGAGCATTAGGATTGAGAGAACTTGAGAATAAAGTGGTCTCTGCTGTGGTCTTAACATATTTTGTTTGTTTGTTTCATGTAGGCTTGTAACCCCAAATATTCAGATTATGACAAAACGGGTTCTATTTGTGCAAGCGAGAATATCAATGACACTTTGACCAGATACCGGTGGCTGATTAGTGCTCCTGCTGGCCCGGATGGAGTGACCAGCCCCATGAGAGAGGTGGACTTCGACACCTTCTTCACATCCTCCAAAATGATCAGCTTAGACTCCGTATACTTTCAGCCTGGCTCCAGGGTGCAGTGTGCAGCTCGTGCGGTGAACGCCAATGGGAATGAAGGCCTGGAGCTGATGAGCCCTATAGTCACCGTCAGCAGAGGCGAAGGTAAGGCACTTCTGCCTTCCCGTGAAGGTCACTGCAATATTGTGCACTAATGCAGAGGTCCCATTTCTGGTTATAAATTCTTTCAAATGCCTCATACATACCATTGCACTCTGTATTTAAAGGTGAAAGTTCAATCCTCATTTTTTTTACAACAATCTTCATTAGAAAACAAGCTCTCATTCACACATTTAATGAGCACCTATGATGTGCTAGACCCAGAACCTTACACCGGTGATAAGGATAAGGACAATGCCCATCCTCCAGGAGTCCCTAGGAAAGTTGAAGGCCCAGATAATTTGAGTCTGGCTCAACACAGAGGAGATGCTGATGTTGAATCTTGAAAACATGGGAAATGACTCTAAAGAAGCAGGAAAGCGCATGAACTCTCTGGAAGTGGCAGGCAAAGGCGCAAGAGAGCGTTTGAGAGGAAGAGGAGAGACAGTCAGGTCTGGACAGGGGCTGGGGCACTATACCATGCGAAAGAGCCCAGCTGGCTGTTGGATGCCTGGGAATCTGTTGGGAACCCAGGGGAAGGTAGAGAAGCTTTGCACAAACCTGCACCTTATTACTGAGATGGAGGCTGTATTGGAAGCTGGAGCCAAGGACACATGCTTGGAGGTCAATAATAGGACGTAACTAGGTATAACACTGAAAAGAGGAAACCCACTTTATAAAACCAATCCTTCACTGAGAATAAACACATTTAAATATGCTGTTGTTGTTTTGGTTTGAGTATGAGTTTGGTGGGCTTAAGATTTTTTTTTATTTTATATGTGTGAATGTTTGCCTACATGTGTGTAAGTGTACTATGTGTGCCTGCAGAAGCCAGAAGGGAGTGTCAGATTCCCTGGAACTGGAGTTACAGGTGGTTGTTAGTCACCATGTAGGTGCTGGAAACTGAACCTGGGTCCTCTGTAACAGCAGTTAGTGCTCTTAAGAGCTGAGCTGTCTCTCCAGTCCTTTGGGTTTGATTTTTTTCAGTGCTGAGGATGAAATCAGGGCCTTACATAGGTTAGACAAGTGCTGTACCTGTGACAGTCACATTCCTAAATTAGATTGCTTTTAAAAATTATGTGTATACATTTCTATTTTTAAATTTTCTTTTTGCTCACCGCATTCAGAAGTATATTTAGGACTTGAAATCTTTTTAATTTTTACAAAAATTTTATTGACAATTTCATACATGCATATAAGGTGTTTTGATCAAATCCATGCCCACTCCCTCCCCTCCAACATTCCCCCCTCTGAGGAGGTAACCCTAAAATCTTTTAAAGATTAGATACAAGCTCCCAAATACTTTTGACATTTTTGGCCTTTGGAACAGAGTGTGTTGCTAACAGGCCCAAGGACATTTTGACTTTCAGCCCAGAAACTGGCTACATTTCTTTGGGGTCTTTTTACCCTAACTGCCTAGGCAATTCCTACCTCCTATTCTTATCACGCCATCCTCTGAAGGCGTTACACAAATTGCCAGTAAGGAATAGGGACGCAGACCGCTCTGGCTTCTTCCATGCTGAAAAGGGACGCAGGGTGAGGGAACTGGAGTACCCCTTCAGTGGGCCTATCTAAAAGACTCCCAAATTGCATAACTCTCGTCTCTAAGGGGAAAAGAGTCCTTGAATCATGAATAGATGTGAAGGAGAAGTAAAGGCAAGAGTAATTAGCATTACAAGTTCTCGACAGGGAACTAGAAAAAAGTCAGAACAGGGCAATTTTCAAATGTACATATGAGAGGACTTGAATCATAACCCAGTGAGGCTCCAGGTTCAGTCCACAGCACTGTTAAAACACACACACACACACACACACACACACACACACACACACACCACTTTTAACATACTGATAAATAAATACATATTTCATAATTAATCATACTATTCTAGGGCAAAACTCAGATTTACTTAATTTTACTACACTTTGTTGGTTTTGCATTTCAATCATTTTCATTTTATTTGCTCATATAGTATATTAAAATAACTTTGTGAATATGTTCCTGATCTAAAATGTGCAGCACATACTAAGTCAATTGAATAAGAACTATTTTCTGTCATGCTGGGTGTGGTAGTGCATGCCTTTAATTCTAGCACTCCGGAGGCAGAGCAAGTGGATATCTGTGACATGGGGGCCAGCCTGGTCTACATAGTGAGTTCCAGGACAGCTGGGGTGACAGGAAGATGCTGTCTCAAACAGAAAAAAGAAAAAAGAAGGAAATATTTTAAAAGAACTGTTTTCTCTCAAACCTGTTAAAAGCTCTGTGTTGTTAAGAGGTATGGTCCCCTCTCACACATGGTCTTCTGTGTAGTCCACAAGGGATGTTAAGGTAATAGAAAAGCAATAGCACCTTTATTAAATCATTCATTAGGTGTCCTCTGTCATCTTCTTTGATAGTGAATGTGTTTATTTCCCTTGAGGTCTTTGCCAGCCCCGTGTGCCCGGGGTCGTGGGGGCAGAGCCGTTCTCAGCCAAGTTGCGTTACACTGGTCCTAAGGACCCTGACTTCGCAAACCTTGTCAAGCTCACTGTCACGATGCCACACATAGATGGTAGGTGCCTTGGGTAAGCAAGTTCTCAGAAGCATTTTGGGCGGCTCATGACCTGGTTTACTTCACCAAATCTTTAGTTGCCACTTGACCTTTGCGTCCCGCTTCTTTCAACTCTGCCTTCTTTCTACCCAGCTTTGAAAGCCTGACAACTTTCAAAAGCATCCTTTAAAGTTAAATAAATGTCTGGGTGCCCAAGACAGACCAGCTCATGTGCTTCCCTGCAGGTATGCTTCCTGTGATCTCCACAAGAGAGCTCTCCAACTTTGAGCTGACCCTCAGCCCTGATGGCACAAGAGTCGGGAACCACAAATGCTCCAACCTCCTGGACTACAATGAGGTGAAGACTCAGCATGGTTTCCTCACTAACGCCACAAAGAATCCAGAGGTCATAGGAGAGACCTATCCTTACCAATACAGTGCACCTGTCAGAGGCTCTAGTACCCTGCGCTTCTACCGAAACCTGAACCTGGAGGCCTGTCTGTGGGAGTTTGTCAGCTACTACGACATGTCAGAGCTGCTCACTGACTGTGGAGGCACCATCGGGACAGATGGCCAGGTACATATTTTAACATCTGAGCCTGGCTCACTGGATAAACTAACTAGTTTGTTCTGTCAGATTTTTTTCCCCTGAATCTCAACTATTATCGCTGTATTGTCAATCATTAGTCACAAGAGGGTCAAAGGATCAGCATGAATGGTGTGAAAATCCATGTCTATTGTTGAAATAATGTGTCAAAGTACATGCTCTTTTAAATTTTATTTTTATTTTGTGTGTATGAGTGTTTTGCCTACATGTTAAGTTTACCATATGCATGCAATTCCTACAGAGGCCAGAAAAGGACATCAGATTCTCCTGGAACTGGAGTTACTAATGGTCATGATTTGGGTACTGGAAACTGGATTCAGGTCCTCTGCAGGAGCAGCAAGGGCTCCTGACTGCTGAGGCCTGTCTCCAATCAGAAAGTGCAAGTCTTTGTATCAGGAGAGCATTGCATTGTAATTGCTTTAACCTCTAAATTTACCCTGACATTTGAAAATCCAGATAGCTTTTCTTCAAAGTCAACAGTATCATTCTCACGTACATACACGGGTCCTTGTGCTATTGTTTCATAAACCACCTCAGATGATGTTCCCCGTCCTGAGGACCAGACTCATTTTTCTCTTTAATCTCTTCCCCTCCTTTCTCTCCCTGGACCTTTTGTCACTCTCTTCCCTTCCTCTCTAGCTTTTCACTTTTCCTTTCTCTGTTCCATGTCTCCACTATGAACATAGTAAAAAGTATTGCATTGGAAGCTTATTGCTTTTCCTCTATTGAAATCAATGGCTCTTTTTCATACTTCATATTAATACCTATGATACACTCAAAATTATCCTCCCAGATCAAAAAAGATTGCTAAAATGATGAAGAACAGAGTCTCCACTTAGGTAATACTAAAATCTAAACTTTGTATGTTACGTATAATAGAAAATCATAACGAGTATTGGAACTAAAAGCTCTTGCCTGAGCATATTTCTTGCCTGAAATAACAAAAAGTTATAAAAGGGGACATGCATTAAAGTAAGAATGGCATGCAGAATACATCCTGTCTTCAAGATTTATCCAAGGTGAGGCTGGATTCTTAATGGAATTGGCAGTTCCCAAATGTTTATTCTCAACAGCTGTATTTCCAAGGTGTTGAAAAAAACATAAACTAGAGAACACACCCTGAGAGCTGTCAGGTCATCCTTCTTTTTTGGAAGGGGGTCTTTTCTATTCATTCCTTGAGAATTTCATACGATGCCTTTTGATCATATTCATCCCTCTTCCCCAGCTCCTCCCAGATCCCTGTTTCCCTGTTTACCCAACATCCTTTACTCATTTTCTCTTTAAATCCATCAAATCCAGTGCGTGCTGCAAATGTACTCCTGGGTGTGTGGCCACCCACTGGAGTGTGGTTGACCTACCTGGGGTCATACCCTTAAAAAAGATGACTCTCAACTGGGCATGGTGGCCCATGCCTTTAATCCCAGCACTGGGAAGCAGAGGCAGGTGGATCTCTGTGAGTTCAAGGTCAGCCTTGTCTACATAGTGAGTTCCAGGCCAGCTGGGGCTACAGGGGAACCCTGTCTCCAAAATATGAAAAAGAGAAAGAAAACAGACTTTCCCTCCAGAAGCTGTCAAATGCCAATATCTTCTCAGCTAATGGTGGAACTTTGTGCCCATTTCCTCTTTCTCCGTGATGGGATTTTGCCTGGCTTGAGCTTGCACAAGTCTTGTGCATGCTGTCACAACCACTGTGAGTTCATATATCAACTGCCCTGTTGTGTCTGGAAAACATTTTTCCTGTAGTCATCTACCACTTCTTGCTCTTTCAACCTTTCTGCCTCTTTTTCTGTAATCCCTGAGCTTTGGGAGGAGAGGATGTGGTATAGATGTCCATTTAGGGCTGAGTACTCTGCAGTCTCTTATTCTCTGCACTTTGACCAGTTGTGGGTCTCTGTGTTAATTGCCATCCACTGCAAAAATAAGCTTCTCTGATGAGGATTGAGAAATACACTCAGCTATGAGTATAACAATAAGTCATCAGAAATAGGTTACATGCTATGTCCATCTAGCAGAATAGTAATAGTAAGTTTTTCCCCAGGTCCTTTGAACTGTCTAGTCACAGATTCCTGTCCCCAGCAACAATGCCAGGTATGGGTTTCTTCTTGTGGAGCAGGCTTTAAGTCCAATCAGAAAGTGATTGGTAAATCCCATGACGTGCATGTCACTATTGCACCACTGGGCATGTCTTACCAGGCAGGTCACTATTGTAGCAAGGTTCACAACTGGGTAAGACTGATGATTATTTTCCTACTCCAGTAGCATGCATAGCACCTTCCAGCACTATGAAAGTTTGCCAGTAGCGATGAAGCTTCCAGGTCAGTTCTTTCTATGACTCAAGCACATGGTGTTTTCAGCAAATAGGGTCTTACAGTCAAATTCTGGAGGATAACCAAGAGCAATAGTAATAACCAGTAATGTTTGGCGATCTGTAAGACCTCACTAGCTAACAACTCTGAAAGAGGTAACCACTTCCTGGCACTGGACTTTTTTTTTGTTAGCCTATGGTGTCTGGTTAGGGGCATTATTACCCTGTAATAGGGTAACTCCATTAAAACTCTTTGTATATGTGTGTATGCGTATATTGTAGGAAGCTTCTACAGTAGTAAGTTTCCATACCACTTTTCAAAAAGTCTTTAGTATTAGATATCCCTGTCCAAGATCAGGAAATTAGTGAAGGGCAACTGGGGAGGGCTTTCAAAGTAAGGGAGCTAGAATTCAGTGGTATAAAGGGTTAAAAGGAAATAATAAAGCAGGAAGGGCTAAATGTGGTAGGGGATGGAAGGGCAAGGTAAGCGGTCATCCACCTCTTAACCAGTCTATGTGTGTGTGTTAACAAATGACCAGCTTGTATGAAAACTTTCTGAGAGGATTCTTCTGCTTTGGCATTATTGAAAATTAGTCTAATGACAGAGTTCATCCAGTGATAATCAGCATCACTGGATGAACAGACTCTATGTAACTCATTGAAATTTCAGAACCTATTATCAAACTCTGAAATCTTCAGTATAATCTAGACAGTAACAAACTAATGAAACATTTTGATTACTTTCAAAGTGAAGCTTAAACTGGACAGCCCACTTGCCCCTACCTTCTTCCTTGCCTTGAACTTCTGTTTCTCTACCTATTGATATCCTCCTACATTCTCCCCACAGGACACATGCATATTACTGAAATGTAGGTGGAGAAGGAGAAAGCTAAATCAAGGTAGAAGGCTAACACTCCAAGAGATTTCATTCCTTTTTCTCTATTTATTTATGACTCTAGGCAAGAAGAAAATAATCTAATAACAGTCCTAACAATAAAAATAATGGCAAAATCCAGGAATGGTAGCACATGCCTTTAAATCCCAGCACTTGGGAGGCAGAAGCAGGTGGATCTCTGTGAGATCAAGGCCAGCCTAGCCTACATAGAGTTCCAGGCCAGCTGGGGCTACAGGGAGATGCTGTCTCAAATGGTGATGATGATGGTGGTGGTAGTGGTGGTGATGGTGGTGGCAATGGGGCTGGGGATGTGGCTCAGTTGGTTCAGTGCTTGCCTAATATGCATGAGGTCCTGGATTTAACTAGTACTACATGAACCACATGTAGTGGTGTACACCTTAAACCCCATTGCTCAGGAATTAGAAGCAGAAGGATTAGAAGTTCAAAACCATTCTTCTCACCAAAGTGAGTTTGAGGACAGCCTGGGCTATATGAGACCCTGTTTCAACCAAACATAATAACGATGATGATGATGACCACAACGATGACAATGACAATGATAGCTAGTATATATTTAATGTTAAATACATGCCCACCATTCTTCTAAATGCTGTATTTCCACTCTTTCTGACCACACAACAACCCCATAAGAATCAATACCATTTTACCTGCTTTTTTATAGATAAGAAAGAGGAAGCAAAGAGAGGTCAAATACTTTTCCCAAATCCATGTAGCTTGCAAGCTTGTGTTGGTAACTGTACCATGTGCTTATCTTGAATTTTAATGGAGCAGATGATGTAAAAATGGATGCGGTCACAGATGGTGTTATAAGAAAGCCAGTGAACATTTATTTCCCTTTTGCTCAGTGGAAAGATGCTGCACAGCAGCCATCATGGGAAGAGTGCTCCAAAATCCATCCACAACCACTGTGGAAAAACAAAGCAACTGCAGGTTCTGCCCCTGGTGAGGCTTCAGCTGAGGGCAGGCAGCCCCATTTCAAAGGCTGCAGTTTTCATGAGGTGGCACCTGGAGCTAAGCCAATCAACCGCATCTTATCATAAAGCTCTCTTTGATTCAACCTTACGATTTCATGAGTTTTACAAACTTTTACATTTCTGAATTTAGAATTGGAAAAAAATGGGTAAAAATAACAGTGAGGCATCAGCATAGGTGACATGTTTTTTAGGAGTGTCTTTGTGGGCTTGCTGACCACTCCCATCCACATGCAATTCTGTTTTCACTTGCCAAGAAATATTTCATAAAGCCTTAGCCAAACACCAGGTAGACACTGCCTCCCCTCGCTGGCTCCTGTCCTAGACTTTGGCACTTTGGCATAAGGTAATCACTGTGCAAACAGCTTTTATTAACTTATATTTGCTTTTTCCAGGAGCAATATGATGAGCTGAATTTTATATGTGTCCTTAGTAACCTACACTTATCAGCATGAAATATTGCCAAGTCTCTTCTGTGTTGTATGAGTAAGTACATGTGTGCATGCGTGTGTGCGTGCATGTGTGTATGCGTGTGTGTGTGTGTGTGTGTGTGTACGTGATTAAAAATCAGTTCTGTCTTCTCAAGATTCCCAATTCAGACTATTTAACATATAAGCATATAAGAAAGAATTTCCAGAGCTGGGTGTGGTGGCACATGCCTTTAATTCCAGCACTCAGAAGGGAGAAGCAGGTTTACCTCTGAATTAAGGCCAGCCTTGTCTACATAGTGAGTTCTAGATCCTGTCTCAAAAAAAAAAAAAAAAATCCAGGGTAGTTA